AGGCTGGAGGCCATCGCAAGCAGGTTCAAGGCCATTGCTATTAGGTTAGAGGCCATTGCTAATATGATGGAGGCCATCGCTAGTAGGTTGGAGGCCATCCCTTCTAGGTTGGAGGCCATTGCTATTAGCATTTTGCCGACTAGTTCTCCAAGAGCTGCACATTTCATCGAAGAAGGACATTTTGTCGAAGTCCTGGCAATCCAATTGACTTGGAAAGTGAAAATGTCTCCCTGGGTATGCGGGTCTCAAAAGTTGTTGTGAAATTGGTTCCAAAAACATGTAGTGAACAAATAAACAACAACATTGGATTGGAATGCAAATGTGGCGCATGGTCGGTCGAATTCAAATGCAAGTATACAATATAAACTTAAACAATCAGTTAGCAGTCTTGGTCAAGCCCCAAGCACACCTAGCCGTGTCTTGTGTGAAGAAGAGTGTCCTGCTCCTTGGGCACATCGATCAAAGGAAGCAAGGCCTGCTTTCGCATATTGTATCACCAACAACTGGCAGACTCTGTTTCATACTATTTTTGGTACTGAACCCATGTATGTATGCATGCATGTAAAGGTATTTACTCTATGATTGAGGGCCCCATTGCTTGGGTAGCAAATCCAATGCTGTCATAGTGACAGTCAACTCACTTTTTCAGAACTTGGATTTAGTTCTTTACAAACTCAAACAAAAAAATCATGGGACGCTGTCACGAGGATACCCCCAGGCCCCAGGCAAGTCAAACATTGGACGAAACGAAAACAACTTGAGTGACTGACAAGCTGCATTCTGGCTTGCAGAGTTTCGGGAGCAATTACAAGAGTGATTTGGTGCTGGCCAATGGATCGAACATTGATGACAACAGCAAACACATAGAGAAATACACGCATGTGTATATGCACAGGCCCGCAACTATGAACCAAAAAAAGTGGCTTTGCACGCCAACTACCCGTGCTAGAGTGCGGGGGGAGCTTCTTTAAAGCATGACACTTGATATGCTTCGACCTTGCCTCTTCCGAATAAGCTTGGGCGATTGATTCTCATGAACTTCTGACTCCCATGTTATCCGGACTTGTTGCTTGCCTACTGTAGTCGCATCATGCCTACCATAATATCGACGTCGGATTAATCAACGGGACCCCCCCGCTACAAGGTCAACAAGGTCTGAGATTGGAGATTTTGGAGATCACATCCCCCTAATAAAGATGATGACCTGATGATGGATGATGGTTCATGGGATTCTGTCATGAGAGATTGAACCATGAGAACCATGAGAGCCCTGAGTGTATTGGCACAAGTTTGATAAGAGATCAAATAGGATTGATCAGAGAGCCATGCCAATTGGATCAATTTCTGGGGGAGCTGGGATTGATTAATAGGGGGAGGTTTCTGCACAGGAAACAAAATATTAGGGTGATGCCAAGGGGAAAATCCATAGATCGAATTAGTTTAATATTGGAGGGGTCGAGCTGGGATTGATTAATAGGGGGTGGTTACTTAATCCTAGGTGCGCATTACCTGATTTGCCCACCATATTGTTCAGATTTGGTGGAATGCCGTTGATATTGCGACAAAATTGCAGTATTGGAGACTGAGGGTTGCCGTACATATACCACATGCAGTATGTCTATGTGCACCCCGCTGCTACTGCTCCGCAAGCAAAGGGTTAGCCAGTGCCAACAGATGGGGACTGGAAAATGTCTAAGTCTAAAGGTACAAGGCTCTGCCAATATCACTGGGGAACTGACGTAGAACTACCTGTCAAGCTCCAACAGAAATACATGCACTAAACGCGACGTGCAGTCACAAACCTGCTTGAAGACTGGTCTTGCAACCATTCTCGCACATACAACTTGCGTATCCAAAATAAGCCCTCCTATCCTTCTCCTAACAAAGCAACACAATCTTGCAGAACATGGATCCGCTGCACTGTGATCAGCCGTCAAAGCAAGTGACCCGTGTCTTCACAAAGGCCACTTTATGTTGGCACCCGGCTCATTTTGGCACACATGAAATTGATCATGTTAGAAAACAAATTCAGCAAAAGGTCATTGAAACCGCACTCTTACAACTTATTCTCACCACCTTGCCACGGTTTGAAGAAACGATTTGATCTGGTGTAAGTACACACCACCTGCACCAAACAGGGTGGGGGGGTAGGGAGGAATGTTTTGCCAACAACCAACATACCCCGCCGGCTAGAAACCCTGGAAACACGCAGAAACAGAGTGAAACACACTGCGCGTTCCAAAGCGATCAGTCACCGAGAGACTGGGATTTGATTTCGTGCAAATGCGCCGTGGAGTAGAACGGACGCTACTGCCAACTGACCAACTTATCTCACTATATATACTCCTATTGCTGTGCTAGCTTCCTATCCCCCTTGCTCCTACTACTTCCTCACAGCCAGCACATACAGAGCAGGCCACCGCCAGTGCGCACAAAAACAGAAACACATTCATTGATCAGTTTCTTTTCAATGCTTTATGAATTATGATTGGCACACTTGCCCAAAAATACAGTAAAACGTCTGCCGGGTTGGCGTCCAACATAAGTCTGTTCTGTTTCTCTATTATCTTTGTTGGTTTTCCCTAAGTTTCAGGAAGCCAAATCGTATCCTCTGCCTACTTTAGAATGAGATTGACCCGTATTAAATATTGAGCAGCAACGCGTTTATGTGTTTCTTACTTTTCGGACGGACAAGTTCTATCCAAAATTGGATTGGTAAACAAACAGCTGGGACTTGTAGGTCCATGCTCTTATATGCTCTCGATTCGTGAGGTTCTTTTTCCAAACCCGTTTTAAAACACACAAATCAATGCTGCAAAAAAGAACAAACAAACAACACATCTTCCTCCTTATCTTCTGTCTTGATTTGATTAGTTACACCCGCCCACTCTTCCTCCCTCTAATCTCTTTTAACCAGCCCTTCCGCCGTTGATTAGTTGATTAGCTTTCATTTTAATATAGCTCTTTCAGAATTTCATGCTGGTGAGTGCCCTTTCTCCTCACTATCCAATCACCTTCATTGTCTTGGTTTCGCACTTTATCACGTAGTTTTTCTCCTTCTCATTTAGCTCCTGAGGTGTTCAATAATAGGAGGATTCGTTGATCAAAAAGGAACATAGCCATTTCACAAGAGCTGAACCAAAGACCCAAAAGCTACTGAAGCAAGAGGAACGCTAGTTGAGAACACCAAGGGCTTGGAAAAAAGTTACGCTTGCAATGAACATGCCACTAGAGTCACTAGAGCAAGAGAGAAGCCACTTGAGAGTGACAAGGATCATAACTAAAGATTGAAGATTTCCAGGTCACGATAAGATATATACAAATACAAAATATAAATGCAACATACATGTATGTATCCATATTCTATGTATACAACTATATTATAGCCTAGATAGGGATTAGTCGGAGCCACAAACGTGCAACAAGAGCTGAATGACTGGGACGGACAAAGCAACTTTGGCGACAATAACACAAGGCAAAACAAATAAATCAAGAAGGGAAATGCAAACCAGTTTGTCAAAAGCTGTTAGGATATTTCATACGTCTGTTATCTGCCATCTGCCCCCTTTCCTATCTCCTCAAGACAATGATTTACACGTACTAACTTTGCATTGAAAAACGATGAACACGTGTGAGCCTGTCAAGCCGGTCTTCAACCGTATGGACCTACTACGCCTATTGCGCCATATTGCGCCTAGTGCCTGAAGGGTCCATCTGAGTTGTCTATGGACTTGGCTCGCTGTGCAGCTTTGAAAGAGTAGCGTCTCAGGGGCATCTCTGGCAGCACAAGTTGCACAGCACGTTTGTTGCACCTGCTACTCTGTAAGTAGTATTGGCAGGTCAAACTATACAAATGTGTTATAACTGACGTGGTATGGTACAGTTGTGTACCACAAGATTCACATTCTTCGAAACAGTCAATACTTGCCAGGCATCGGGAAACTAAACTGAGCGCGACAACATGACACGTCACAATGACACAAACAAACACATCTGAATGAAGTAGAACGAGCAAAGCCAAACCTCCAGTAGCTCATTGCGATGTTTGGTCAATGCCTGACGGTCTGACGGTGCCTGCTTCTAACTTCATATTCATCACACATATGAGGTCATTGTTCATTGTATGTGCGTGTGCTCAGTGTGTACACTGTCATACTTCTCAAACAATGTCCAGCTTCAGTCAGCAAGAAACACGGCCCAGAAATATCCTTAAGAACCGTCTCAGTGGTCTGACAAAAACAGCCATCCATAAGAAATGCGTTCCCTGCTGGGTCCATCCTGTGGACCAAAGCCAATCCGGCCAATCCCCCTAGTCTGGAGATCCATTCAGCCCTGCTGCTCTGCCTCCCGTGTAGGGCTGTCCTCGCTGAGGGCTGCCAAGAGTGTCTCTGGCAGTGATACCTCTCAACAGGATAGAAACGAAAAATAAACCATATATATATATACATATTGATCTATATTATAAAGCACAAAAAAAGGTTACAGTAAAGGCCTTATTGAAGGGGCCCTTGCCTTCTGTTTCCTCTCTTTTTTTTACAACCCACTGTGTGTCAAAATCGTTCAATCTGGAACACACCTACAAACTAAAGGGAGATGTTGGCCCCAGGTCCTGGTAGTTCTGGAAACTAGTTCTGACATGCATGATCCTCTACTCATCGTCATACAAATGGTCCAAACAGCGAGCTTGTGTGGCAGCCTCAGTTGTGTCTGCCAGGAAAGGGTCGCACCTGATCCAAGGAAAATACGCAGTCACGCCACGCCGTTGCATTTCCGCAAATGCCGCTGTGCTAAATTGTCAAATAGTTTAGTTTGAAAGAATTCTGAGTTTGCCACTCCATCCGCCTTTCTTGTGGACAGCGCAATGCATCACCCACTAAACTAATGGCCTCGACCTTAGCACTAGAAAACTTGGTGACAAGTGGGACAAATTTGTCTAGGGCCGGTAGGTGAGCAAGGCAGCAACTGCAGCAGTTTCCGCCTTCTGTGCTCGCTGGAATGATAACTAGCTGCCCCGGTGATGGTGTTTGAGGAAAGTATGATGCCAACAAATCCACGCCATCCTCCTCTTTTACTATCAGCACTATTATCGTCATCTACCCTCTGAAGAACAGTTTGTTAAGTCGATACGTCGCCAACATGCACTAGTCATATGAGCACCCCACGGCGTGCCGCAAAATATCCCTCGCCTTCTCCTGCACCAAAGCCTGTTTGCAAGATGAGGTTAATGTCAAGCAGGCCAAAATCCAACCTTATCAAGACCTCACACACCATTGCCAGCCGACGCGAGGTTGATAGGTAAAGGCACTTCTCAGAAAGCATCGAGCGGCTCAGGTTCTACGAGTTTCCGTCTGTCCATCCATTTCAGAGCAAACAATACATGCCACATACTTCCATATTGATAGACAAATACACTTGCGTTGTTGTCCGTGAGAGTAAACACGATGATACAAATGTCATGGTATCCTTCTTTAGCATCGTTTTTGACATGCCCCATCGCTCTCTATAGAAAAGCGTGAGGACACTAACAATACAGGGCGGCCAGGAGGCTATCTGAATTTCAGCCACGCACACGTTTTAGAACAACCCAAAGCTAAGCAAGGCCTTCTTTCCAATGTCCAGTCTGCTTGTCTGATAATGTCGCATCCAAATTAGCGTAATGGGACGGAATAAGAAAAACAATCGAGCATTCAACCAAACACCCTGAATAGAAAAAATGGGACGGAAAAATATGTAACATTTGCCAAAATTTTTTTTAAGAATTCTTGGTTTGTCACGCCTACTACTACTACCACCACTAATACTCTAGTACTGCTGCTGCTGCTGCTACTACTACTACTACTACTACTACGACCACCACCACGACAACGACCACTACCACCACCACCACGAGTACTACTACTACTACTACTACCACCACTACTGCTACTACTACTAACACCACCGCCACCACCACGACGACAATGACCAGGAACAGGACCAGGACCACTACCACAACAACAACAACAACTACTACTACTACTACTGAGTTTTGCTTGATTCACGGAACTCTGACCTGAAAACCTTTTGAAAACCCTTATTCAAAGTCTTCCAGTGGGAAATGCTTGAAAAGGGTAACCTTTTTGTTGTTTTGGGGGGGATGGTGAGGACTGGCGGCGACGGTGATGGTCGAAGGAAGGTGGTGGAGGGAGTGGAGGGTGCAGGAGGAGACCCACTCTCAAATCTACCCCACATCCGTCCCCCACATCACTGAACCCGTCCACCACATCACTGAACGCTGCTTTTCAAAAAGCACTCGACGATCGGAGTCGATCTGGGTCTGGTCGATCTGCAGGACCAGGAGCTCTGCTGCGGCTGCTGACGTCTCTCATACACTTCTGTCCGTTGAGCTGGGGGAATCCACAGCATTGAGCTTCGGTGTTCTCTTACTTACACAACTCCCTCTCGCAGCACAAGCTCAGGGCTTCGATGCCTTTGCATCCTTGCAGCTCTGGCACGAACAGTTCGGGCAGAACTTCGGCTTCTTAGCCTTCGGCCTTCCCTTACGATTGGCTTTCGTGAACTTGGCGGAAGCAAGCTTGACACGGGTTTCCTTATCAACAATTGCTTGTGGGAGTGGGGCCAACAGATTCTTCCCACAATCCTCCAAGTTCGGAAAGCCGTGGTCAACGGGAGGCTTCACATCCCGCACGGGTCCCGCCGCCCCGCACCACACCGCGAAGCGTGCCCCAGCCACCGCATCCTTCGGCAGCTGCGCCGCCCAGCAGCGCGCAGCCCGTGGATCCACCTCGCACACCTGGGTGGAATGCGGGCGCCTTCAAAGCTCCGTCGGGCATCTGGGGGATCGGGCAACCTCCAGTCATAGCCCCCCGGACACAACACCAAAACCACCAGCAAACTACTACGAGGGCCGGCCATCGAGTTATGGACTAAACGAAGAAACACCTGAAAAGTCTATTGATTCAACTCCCCCCCAAAAATGGTCCAGGCATTAGTTGAAAGCCTCGTCCACCTACTGAGGCTGCCCAAGTCTGGCCTTCCATTTCTGCCACATGTTGGTTAAAAAACACAGGGAACCGAAGACCTGCACGGCTTTCGAAAGCCCCGAGTGCCGGCAATCGAATTGATAGACTAAACGACGACAACCTTGAAAAGTCTATTAATTGACGCCCCACAAAAATCGTCAGGGATATACTGGAAAAACAAAAAATACTCGTCCCTGCCCCCCCCAAAGATGGAGTCATCGGTCGAGGCACTAGGGGGCAAATGCTGTCTTCTCAAGATTTAAAGCCGATGTGGGTGGGAGTATAGATGTACATGGGCTGAAGGGGCTGACTGCGCCCTTGACGTCTGATGACTAAACACAAAAGCAAACAAGGGCCTATTACTCAACCTATACACACATCTCCACCCGCCCACAGCAATCTGACTCGACCTTGTGAAAGGTCGGCGTGCTCTCCGCTTTGCCGCCAGCCACAATGGACTCCGTGTCCACCCACAACGGCGCTCCTGCAGTTTCCGGGAAAATGAGGTCGATTCACTTTGGCTCGCAAAGGAAGATCAGCATTCAAACAAAAAGGAAAGACATCGAAAGATTGAACGGCCTAGCAGTTGAAGATGGACTAGAACAGAACACCACGCGCTTCAGCTACTTTCTGGTGGTTTTGCCCCAGCCTGCCGGTGTCCTCTGGCTTATAGCTTACTGTGCAACGGGCCCCTTTCTGCTCTGGCGTGAACCCCACAGCTCACCCTGGAAAGATGCCTCAGCTGATGGAAATGCACCTCAAATGCGAAGCTTTGCAGCGCACAAAATCTTAGGGAAAGGTCTACAGGTTAAGGTCTAAAGGTCTTAAGCTTTAGGCTGGTGTGGAAACAATGCAGTGTTCGTGCACTCAGGCCATCGCCCTGTCAAACCTCGGCGAAAATGACAATAGATGCAAGTGCCTCTACACTCTGCCACTGCAAATGCGATTGATGTTGACTTTTCACGCACGGTCTCAGCCTCTGTGGAAGATGCGCCTGTATCATATCAGGCTACTGGAAAACACATGCCATGAGACATGGGGCAGGCCACCACTGTTCAACCGGAACTGCTCGAGCTCTCCTGACCTTCTCCCTCCGCTGCCTCCGGCTGCGGGGTCTCTGGCACAGCAACAGCAGCACTCTGTTCTTGCGCAGCAGCACTCTGTTCTTGAACAGCAGCAGCAGCCTCGGCCGTGCCGGCTCCCATGGATCGTTCTTGAGATAAGAACCGGGTCGACTTGAAGCCATCCTGGCGATTCAGAGCCAATTAATTCCGTCACAATGGAAAGGGCCAGGCGTTCCCGCAGCACGGATTTGTGCAACTCGGCGATGGCGATGCCCGTGTAGCGATGTTGATGCCGACAAGCAGCCAGGGCTAGCACACCTGATCCCGGCAAGAAATCCAACACGTGCGCCAGCTGATGGTCATGCATGGAGCCAAACAGGTTCAGCCGCTCACGAGCATGAGTCTCAGGAGCTTCGGCCATGAAAAGTGGGACACCAACTTTGTCACCAGAAGGTGGGACCGATGCTGCCTCACACCCCTCTTCCACCTCACCCTCACTCTCCACATCCTGCACGTCTGTAGCCACCGAGCACAAACCCTTGAGAGCTGAATCTCGCACACTGGTTGCCACTGTGCACATCGCCAGATCTTCCTCTGTCTTGCGGCTCCTGATATGAAAACGACATGCCAGTGAAAATAATTCGAAAGCGACGGCCAACTCAATCTGCCAAAAACCCTGCCCAAAACCTTGAACCCCAAGTATACTGCCGGGGCGCAAATCGACGCTCCTTGTTGATGAGTTTGGTGTCCTGCGTGGTCAACAAAAAGAGGTTCTCCAACGGGTCAATCAAGCCGTTGTGCACGCCAGTCCCAAGCATACCTGACAGGTGTTTTGGTCACATCTCGGCCAGTGCGTCTTTGCAAGAGAGTTTAAACTGCGAACCAAAAATGAAAAGAACAAGGTTAAACAAACACAAACCTCTTGGACACACTGAGAAGCTGTTCGATGCGCTTCAACAGTTTGAGACCACGCCATGTGCCAACAAGTTCAAGAGGCTTACTGGATTCACCACCGAATGTCCGCATGTGAACAACCACTCGAGTCTTCGATTGGCAGCACACCAGCTTGCGAAAGATCATCAAATTCATCTGGCATGAAAGCAGCGAATGTTTCCCGAAACAAAGATGCAATGCCTGTCCACAAAGCATACATTTTTAACTTAATAACAAAACTAGGATACTCGAGGTTACAGCAGGAAACAGAACAATACTTGTGCGCCGTGGGAAATTGAAATGGTCTTGTATGTGTTTACAAAGCCAAAAGGAGTGCCAGACATATCCAGGTCAGGACACATAAATTAGTAGAAAAGTTCAAGAAATATCGCGTGCAGAAACAGAACCAATTATTGCGCCACATCACTGGGTTCTCAATGGCCCATGTGAAGCCCATCTCCTCGATCAGAGGAACCAAGTACTCATCAATGATCTCGGCAGTGCTTGACCCAGTACAAACGAACTTCAGGTTCATGTCGCCCTCGTAGTTGCTCTCCTAGTCGACTTGCCATCAACACACAACACCAGTTAGGTTCTAGATCATGTAATTTTAGATGCAGGTTTGAGATCTTGACCCCTTGATCATGCAAAGACTTAGCAGTCTGATGTGAACCAAACAGTACAACGAACATTTCCAGGACCCACTGAATCGATTGAGCTTCTCCCCACATGTCCATGTCTTTTCAACTAGTCAAGTCGATCTCGACCGAACGTAAATGACACCCAACAGAAAGCTTTGGCAGGCCACAGCTGCACCATGCAATTTGGGGGACTGCTTGCGCATACTCTCAACTGACTGCACTCTCCCACAAGTGGTGCAATCACCATACCAAACATACTGCCCGCCAAACTTGAACACACGCATCCAGGATAGCAAAGCCCTACAATACCCGACAATCATTGTGAAAACTGTTGGTATTGTCCACATCATCACCCAAATTCACACAGCAGGTGTTTAGTGTGTTTCGCTTTTGTTTCGTGTCCTTGGAGCGCTTTGTCGTGTGTTTAGAGACAAACCCAAGCCAGCTGCTGCATGTAGGGGCCATCCACACGAAAGAGCCAGGCTTCGTGTTGGCTATAGCTTCCAGAAGCAGCCGCCTAAAGAACTGATGCTACGCCCAGACC